AACTATAAATCCAAATCAAGTGATAGTGATGTGCAAAAAAGTGCAAGAAATGAATGAATAAATGTCAATTACAGAGGGGGGTGTCTGAATCACTTGAGGGAGGCGTTATAGAGATTGATGACCACAGGCAGGAATGATTTCCAGTTGCGCTCGTCTTCTGGACCAGTGTGTCCAGTGGAGAGGATGAGGATGTGGAGAGGACCATTTTATCTTTACTCCAAATAATTCAAAATATAGTTCTGAAAAAAGCATGAATTCTCTTATCTATCATCTTTAATGTGTGTATATTGATGTGCATAATTACCTACAGTGTTTCTGTTGTCTAGTATGTGTTAATATATGAAAATGTTTGAATGTTTTGAATATTCCCCTTCAGAGTATTGCTGCTGCAATCGTCTGTATTACAGAGAAAAAATGACAGGGGTGACCACCTAGCTCCATCCCTGCTTCTGCATCTGTTTAATATGATACTCTATATTTATGGGCGGTTCTAGACAGGGGTCAACGGGGGCCAGAGCCCCTGTAGATCATGTCCTGGCCACTGTTTTGGCTCCTGAAGACATGGTACTCAAAGAAATTGTAATGATGGATGATATGCGAAGGAGCAGACCTGGTTACTGATAGTTCCTTTCATAATTCAGGAATGCAACATATTTTTGAATTATTTTAAATGAAAATTACAAGATTAATTCAAATCAAATAACTTAAAAATGTTAAATTCAGCTGGATCTATTTCATTTTTTTTATTATAAATTCTTTTTTACTAATTATTTTAAAACAATAAGGTAATAGGAATGCTACATATTTTTGAATTATTTTAAATGGAAATTTAAAATAAAACCAGATTTATTGAAATCAAAGAACTTAAATTATAAGTGTTAAATTCAGCTGGATCTTTTTCCTTTTTTTATTGTTATTATTTTTATTTTTTTTTACCAATTCTGTTTTACTAATAATAAAAAAAAAAAAAATAGGTGATAATAATACTACATACATACATACATGTATAATAATAATAATACATATTGTTTTAAATATTTTAAATGAAAATTACCAGATTTATTCAAATAAAAGAGCTTAAAACTGTTAAATTCAGCTGGATCTTTTTTTCTTTTTTTTAAACTAATTTTGTTTTGTAATTATTTAAAAACAATAAGGTGATAGCTTCAGTTGCATTGGAAAACAAGTTTTTCTTGAGTTCTCATTCGGAATTTATAGAAAACGGTAATTTTAACTTAAATTAAGTCAAAAATATGTTAAACTCCTAACTTATGAATGTATATTGACCTTATAAGACATAGAATTTTAATGAAACCTAACTGAAAAGAAATTTCTTTTCATGCAGCTCTCTTAATATATTTTAATCCCTTGCCCTTTTTTTTATTTCATGCTTTTCTGTGCCCCCATGAAAACATGCTGGCCCCTCTCCTGGCCCCCTGGTACATTTTTTCTAGAACCGCCACTGCAGAGCTGTTTCTGCTCCAGCACTCCTGATTTAAGGAATGGATCCATCTTATCAGGTTATAATTCTACAGATATGTATGCTGATTTAACTGCGGTGTGCTGAAACGGGGAGCACCAGGTCCCTCAGTCTCCTCTGATATAGATGGAATGTCGCTTATTGTGTTTAAGTTACAATTGCTCTGATATGGTTCCTTCAAACAGATGACACCATTGTTTTTTTTAAGACGTTGGCAAAAAAAAAAGCATGAAACAAAACACACGACAAAAATTTATCATTTAAATAATAATAAGAGAGCCAAAGGACCAATTAACTATTACTCTGCACTGTGGAGTGCAGAGTAATAGAGTAATATGGAGTAAAATTTCTCCATCATTTAGTTTAATTTAAATTTCATGTTGTCCCAATTAAAAATCTGTATTCTTGGATTAAAAGTCTTTCATTTATTTCACTAAAATAAAAAATCCCCTAGCATTTAAAAAAAAAAAAAAAAAGCAACTGAGTTAATTAAGTGCCTAATAAGTATCTTTTGAATAATAAAGCTCACGTTCTTTTCACTCTAAGCCCGATACAAACAATCACCAATAAAAATGTAAAAGTCCAGCAGACCAATAGATATATGGAAGAAAAACAGTCTCAGCGGGAACAGCGCTGAGTGCAGCCATTGTGTCACGTGATCAAATGAGCTAATTTCATTGGCTAGGAGCTGCTCGACTCTATCGAGTGTAGATTGCTTTGGCTTGAGTTCACCAAAAGGTCAACACTTTTGCAGCTGACTTTTTTGCAGCTGAATTTTTTGCAGCTGAATTTTTTGCAGCTGATTTTTTGCAGCTGAATTTTTGCAGCTGATTTTTTGCAGCTGAATTTTTTGC